CCGTAGGAGAGAGCTCCGGGCCCTACATGGTGGCTGGGGCCGTCAGGAGATGGGGTACCCTAGGGGAGAATTGCTGTTTAATAAATTGTACGTGCTCTGAACTCTGTGTAATGATCAGTGGCTCAGGGAATCAGCCAGTGCAAAGAGAGTGCCCCGGAGTGGGGACACCCTCGCCCCTGTCCTAAGTGACCATGACAAGACTGGGGGTCAAACCCACAGGGATCCGGGGCCCAGCCTTGCCGGGGTTATGAGGACTCTGCCGCATGGCAGGGAGGAAGGGAGTCCTCGAGGTCAGGCAGGCCTCTGGGTAAAGGGAGTGGGAGCAAGGACTCAGATCCTTTCACTCGCCAATCCCACTGGGGCGCGTATAAGCAGGAAAGTTCCCCATAATAGGGGGACCATCCCCCCACTTACACTAGGAGCGGGGTCAGCGGCTGCCCTGCCCGTCCGTCCGGAGAGTGAAATGAACCGGTTCCTCCCCCCAAAGCCCGTCTGGTCTGGAAACAAGCGGCTCTGCTCCGGCGACTCTGGAAGGAGCGAGACTTGGAGCTGGTCTGACTCCGGCTGTTGGCTGCGGTCACTCAGCCCCCGTTTCAATAGACAGGTCGGGTTTGATTCCTTGTCCGTGGGGTTAACCCGAAAGCTTTGCCTTTGAACGGCTGCTGCTGGGGGTTTGCCCAGGAGCCGAGTAGAACCAGGGGCTCTGCTTGAAACAAGGCCCTGCTCCCGCCTGTGTAATGCTGGCGAGGGAGAGAGTTTCCAACTCCCTTTGGACCCTCTAGGCCTGTGAGACCCTCTGCAAAGACCAGCTGAGCTACGGGAGTTTGGGGGGACAGGCCAAGGGTGGGGCGGGGAAGGGATTAGAGGGGAGATGGGCTGAGATTAGGGTGGGAGTGGGGACAGGAATTTGAGAGGAGACAGAAAGGGGGCGGGTGAGTGGTGCTGGAGGAGTGACGGGTTGGGTGTTTGAAGGGAAACAGGAGAGGGGGAGGAGGTGGAAAGGGAATGGGGGTGAGCAGGATGGGGGATGGGGATGGGCTCCCCCCTCACAGAGTTGGGGTCGGAGGATGGGGGGTGTGTGGAGGGATTTGTTTTCTGGCCAAAACTCTGGCTGAGCTGGGGGGCGGGGGGTGAGCCAGGGGCAAGCGACGCCCCTCAGTGCCCCCCATGGCATTGAGGCAGATTCACCCTGAAATGCCTGCAAGGAGGAACCCAGGCATCCCCCAAGTGTGGAGGGCAGCTTTCATTGTCCCCGCCTTCCCCACCACTGTCCTGCCATGCTCAGCCCCCACAATGTTCCACCACATTCTCCCACCCCC